AGCTCGTGCCTCCGAGATAGAAATGAGCAGAACAAATGCCGTAGGACAGCTTGGGCTCCCTGGGGGACACAGGCTAAAAAAGGTGAAAGAAGTGCAATTACAGGAGGTTTTCAGCACAGAAAGTTAATTAGCTACTAAATAGCATTTAGTGCAGTTCAACGTGGGGAAATTTATGTTTTGAAAGCAAACAGATCAATGGAAAGCCCGTGGAACGAGCTTTTGGAAAGTCCGTGTTGACATTCGTGCACTTTGTACTGTAACGTCCTGGGCAGTTTTTCGCAGGTTTCCCCAACAAACAGGAAGATTGTTGGATGTGTTTCCACACGTGTTTGCAGACATATAGATACGCTTCCACGTGAAGATGTTTTGATGTTTAATTTCAAAAATCCTGGTTAGGCTTTCGTCCAGACTACCTAACACCTTTTTCCCTGTTCACCAAGGTCGGTGTAAATCGATTCTGTTCAGGCTCTCTGAGGCAAAGGGACTTCAAGTCCGGAATATTTTCAGCCAAAGGCTGAATTTAACACAATTCTTAACTAGTTACTCGTCCGTGCCCATCAGATGTAAGTAGCTGGTGCGACCGCAGCGTTTCACTGTCAACGTCCGGCTCCGCGTGGCCACGCTCCTCTGGAAGCTGCTGCCGTCCCACGATGTCCGTCCAGTCCTTCTCTGCAGCGCGACTCGGAACGACACTCGGAAATATTTCGACACATTTTTTTTTTAATCCCAAATTACCAATCTGTTTTCTTTTGCACGTCTTTCATATGTCGCTGAAGTCAGCATGTTTCACCACTCATTATATATGTGTATCGTCAAGGACGCTCTTTTTAATCAGAACAATAGATTTGGGTTCCAGCTGCCCAAGATTACCTCACTTTGTACAGCCACTACACTAAATTTTTAGGCATTTCAGGGTAGCTTTGAACTCTTACTGATGGATTATTTCTTTGAAGCTATCTGTCTTAGACATTTTAGGCAGCTGATGCTGCCATGAGCTATTTCACCTTGCTGGAAAGATGAGGCACGTAGAAGGTCAGTGCCTGTGGGGAATAGTGGAGAAACAGAGAAATGCTCACCCCTGGGGAGGAAAAGGGGCATGTAATTCCCATTACATGGATGCTCATACGTTATGATGATGCTTATTGTCTGTAAATGATGCTTCAGCTCGGGCTGTAAGGAGAGCTGTTAGCGACGGCGCGCTTTAGTACGACGGTGATGGAGAGGTGACTGCGGAGGGTTTGGCTCTTACAAGAGGCTCTCCAGGAATCGGGTGGTCCGTGGGTTTCCTGCCTCAGGTTTTGCTAATCCTCCTTATTTTTTTTTCCCCTGTCCTTTTTATTCCCGTGGACTATTGCACTTGTTCTCTTGTTTTGCTGAGCAGTGCTGTATAGTAGCTGGTGCTTTGTTTCTCCTGGATCCCACAACCCAAAGTCTCTCTGGAATGCTTCTCCAGCTATTTGCCTTGCAGTGCTTCAGCTCCCTGCGTTTGCAGGGCGCTCGGTATAAACCCCTCGTCTGGCTTGGATGAGTTGGAGAGTTCGTGCCTTGCACCTGTGTATCTGTGTGCCTATTTAGAGGACAACCCAAACCCCACAAAATTAGCATTGATCATAGTACTTGTTGTTACTTAAGTACAGAATAATCTCAATACTAAAATTGTTTTTAAAAGTAGTCCAACAGATCAGAATCTTTTCAGTTGGTTGGTTTTTTTTCAATCAACATGTAGGGGAAAAAGTAATTTTAAACACAGTGAGGTTTTTTTCCTTGATTTCCACAGTGAGTAAGTACGCACCAATGTATGAGTCGGTACTCTCACTGCCTCTGTGTGTGAGTAAGTGTGTTTATCAACATGGGGTGCACAGATGTCTCTTTCAGATTTCATCTTCTACATCAGTGAAAACATGGGAATTTCCCCGGGCTGTGCACTCTGAGGCACCGTGCTTACACTCACTGGCTTTTTGCTCTCCAGAAAGGATAAATCCACTTACACGCCGTGCTTCAGATTGCTTCCGTGCGTTCTGGATGCGTGTGCAAGCTCGTAACGAGTGCCTAAATGTGAACTGCAAATGCTTGTCTTGGAGAAGCATTTCCAGAAAATACACCCTTGCCAGCACCTTTGTCACTGGGCTCTCCAGCCTCTGAGTTTTCGCGCAGCCGCTTGTGTATCTGGAGCAGGTTTTGGAGAGGCAGCAGAAGGAGCTGCAGCTGGCGATAGTGTTCTGTCCCGAGGAGCGACACGAGTCCCGGGATCAATGTGAGCCCGCCCGGCTCTGCTGGTAACTGTCATTTCTCAGCACTCATCTCTCTGCCTCTGATCGTTTGAGATGATGCTCTTGAAGAATGGGCACGTTGGCCTCTGTGACGAGGGAACCGCAGGACAGCGATCCTCGCAGCCAACCCATCTTCCAGCCCGTTGTCGCACTGACCAGTTCATCTTTGCAAGAGTTTTAGAAAACTGGTTGCCTCTGCTTAGGCTTTGAGCTCGTTTGAGTCATCTCTTCCAGGAAAATCCTGTGTAACCAGCTGTGGCTGTTGTGAAGTGTTGCTCCATAAATACCAGCTGCTCATAGCAAGCAGTCCAGCGCCGTACCAGGACTCCTATTACTTCTGCATTACCATGAGATACTGCATGTTGTAGGAAAGCGTTATATTTTGCAGCTTTATCAGAAAGCAACACTTGATTTTTCCCAAAGGCCAATACAATTTTCATGGGAAAATTCACAAGGTGCAGGTGATGGTGTAGAGCTGCGCTTGTGAGACTGGAGGTATCGTGGTGTCTACCCTAGAAGGACTGTGGTCCTTCCTCTTTGGGTGAGTTTGGGTATGCCATGTGCTCCCTGCTCACACGGCGACGTTGCCGTGTCACTTCTGAGACCCCAGCCTCCGAACAGCTGGAAGGGGAGTTTGGCTTTGATGCTTTCCTTCAGAAAAGTGGAGCAGCAGAACCTCACGAGCAGAGCAGCGAAGCCGCTCTTTTAGCTGCAAGTAACCCAGACTTGGTCTCATCTACATAATGCTGCAGAACTGGAGGAGGGGGCTGGGGGATTTACTCCCATCCCAGTGCGTGTGGGCACTAAGGTTTTGAGTCGTACGTTTGAACTGGGCGGCTCACAGTGGCTCGGTTAAAAATTTAACCCACAACTAACTGGGATGTCCGGAGACCTGTCCATTGGAATGCAATGACCTGAACCATGGGTAGGTGGTGGAAATAAGGCTTGTCCCTGTGGAAGAGGCACTGTAGCCGGGCTCGGCGAGCATACTGATGTGGTGTGCTGCAGATGCATGCTGAGTGTGTGATTTTCAGCGTTCAGTGCCTACATTGTTAGATAAGCGGATTAGAAAACATCGCATAAAGTGGCGTTGCAGGGGGCTGGCTTTATACCTGCTACTCGCCTTGTCTGGCAAACCCTGATTTCACAGCGGAGCCCATTCAGAGCTGGCACTGGGATTGTTCACGTGTATTGGCCTTTTTAAGAATCAAGGGGTCACAGTTTCAGATTCACTTAATTCTCAAAGCAGTGATATTTTTCTTTGGGGATCAGGGCTGGCAGTGGGCATGTGGGTTTTTTAATTTAAACTCTGTAAAAATAAGTATCTGGGGTGCAGTGAGCTCCTCGTGTACTGGAAAAC